AGGGAGAGAGAGAGAGAATGCTACAGAGTGCATGTGGAGGTCGGAGGACAGCTTTGTGGAGTTGGTTCTCTCCATTCACCTTTCCGTGGATTCCAGGAATCAAACAGATCATCAGGTTTGCCTGGCAAGTGCAAGACCTGTTGAGGCCACGCGAGTGTGTGCGTGTGTGCGTGCGCGCGCGCATGTGTGTGTGTGTGTGTGTATTGAGATAGATTCTCACTCTGTAGCCCAGGCTAGGATTATAGCTGTGAATCACCCTTGCCCAGCATCTCATGGAGAAGTAGGGGCCCAGTTCCCTTCTCCACCTCAAAGCAGGGCCAAGGAAGAACCATCCTCAATGCCTGGTTTGAGACCCTGGAGGGATGGTTTCTTATGTTTTCCCTTGTTCCAGAAATGAGTGATGTTTATTAAAGGTGGGGGGAACATTCCTGAGAAAGTTGACAGGCGAATAAGTCAGGGTTGTCCAGAGCTACCGATGAGTTGTTTACTACTTAGCAAGACCAGGAACTGAGGGTCTGGGGAGATGGCTCAGTGGTAAGAGTGCCTGCTGTGCAAGCATAAGGACCTGAGTTGGGATCCCAGCACCCAGCCAGGTGTGGCCAAGTGTGGACCTATAACCACAGTGCTGTGGGGAGTGGAGGCAGGAGGATCACTGGGGCTGCTGGCTGCTGACCTAGCTCTGGGTTCACTGAGACCCTGTCTCACGGGAATACAGTGGAGAGTGATAGAGCAGGGCACCTGTTGTCCCCTTCTCGCCTCCACACACATGAACAAACATACATACCATTCACATACATATTACATAGAGAAGGAATGGCACACAAGTGGTCCACTTTCCTATGTCCACTCGACCCTTGGCCACTTTGTCACTTCCCTGCACGTCCTACATGTGGCTGTGCTCCTTCTGGGAAGGCTGCACCATTTCTGTCTTCCAGTGTGGTCAGGACCTTGGCAACCTTTCCCTGTGCCTAGACACCTACCTTCCTTATTTATTTATTTTCCAGACCTCTACATGTATGTCCTGAGCTTCTCAGAGTCCCGAGTGCAACCAGGTCTCCTCTTGGTCTCTGTGCCTCACGTAGTAAGTGCTCTGCAACTCCATGACTGAATGGGGGGGGGTGTCTCAGCAGAATATTCTGCCCTTGTGCTGGGCCTGTCACTTTTGCACATATCCTGCTTGCCCCCAAGCTGGATCCCCACATTCATCAAACAGGTCTTTTCCCAGCTGAGTCCTCCAGGACTGGTTCTCAGCCCAGAATCTGCCAGACTCATGTCAGAGGTATCAACTTGGCAGCAGCCCTGGGTCCCAGGCCTAGGCGAGGATGTCTCATGCATGCAGGACTCTTTACACAGTGACAATCGACAGTGAATTATCACCAGCCATATAAAAAGAACGGACTCGCATCCAAGTCAGAAGGGTGTCATAGCTGTATGCAGACCTGAGTGTGTGGGCTCTGTTGGACTTCTTTTTCCTTTTCCTTTTTGGTGTATATCTGTGTATATGCATTCAGTGTGGGTCCATGTGTGTGAATGTGGGAGCATGTGCATGTATGTGGGTGCATGTGTGTATAAATGCCAGAGGTAGATATTTGGTGCCTTACTTAGACTTTGAGGCAGGGTTTTCCATTAAAGTGGATCTCACTGGTTTGACTAGACTGGTTGGTGAATGAGCCCCAGGGATCTTCATGTCTCCACCTCCCAGTGCTGGAGTTGTAGTTGCTGCTGTCATGCCTGGCTTTTTATGTGGATGCTGGGGATCCTCATACTTGCATGGCAAGCACTTTATCAATTCAGCCATCTCCCCAGGCCCCCCTCCCAACTCTTTCTGAAACAAGGTCTTGCTATGTAGCCCATGTTAGTCTTAAACTCATGTTCCTCCTGCCTCAGCTTCCTGAGTGCTGGGGTGCCAGGCATGAGCTAGTACAGCCAATCTTGGAACATACGGTATTTCTTACTGAGAGCTGAACTGAGAAATTGGAAGCCACTAGGTTGCCACATCCTGGCTTCACTGCTTTTCAGAAAGCTGGACTAAAGGGTTAGTCAGCACAATAATAACCAGAGGTAAGACTGATGCAGGGCTTTGCTACACAGTCAGCACTCCTTTATCCTCACAGGCCTGGGAGGAGTAGGAAGGGCAGAGGTTGGTGCCTAAAGGGCTGTGTGACCTTAAACGAGCTGCTCAATCTCTCTGAGCTTCAGCTCCTTCCCATGGGAAGCTGGTTGTAGGTCTGCGTGAAACTGTGCAGAAGGTACTAGATGACTCCATCATCTGGCTTGAGATACGTGTATATGCATATATATACATATATCTGGGGTATACCTTAAAGATTTTATATGTGTGTATATATATATGCACATATATGGTGAACAATGATTGAGGAAGACATCTGACATCAACCTCCAGCCTCCACACACACACAAACAGGCATGCACACCTTCATACACACCTGTATACACGAGCACAAGATCTAAAAAAATATAGCTACCAAGGCTAAACTCAAACTCATTCTTAGCTCAGGCAGTCTTAAACTTGCAAACCTTTTACCTCAGCCTCCTGAGTGCCTGTGGGATGATAGGTCTGTACTATCAGATTTGGATTTCTGTGTTTGTGTGTGTGTGTGTGTGTGTGTGTGTGTGTGTGTGTGTGTGTGTGTGTGTGTGTGTGGTGTATATGCCCAGGAGCACATGTACAGGTCAGAGAATATCTTTGGGAATCATTCTTTGTCTTCCACCTTGCTTGAAACAGAGTCTCTTTGTTCGCTGCTCCATATGTCAGACTAGCTGGCTCATGAGCTTCTGGTGATCCTGTCTCCATCTCCCACCTTGCCCTAGGAGTGCTGGGATTATAGACACTCATGCTATCACAACTGGCTTTATATAGGTGGTGGGATTAGAACTCAGGTCCTCATGCTTGTGAATAAGCACTTTACCCCTGAGCCACCTCCTCAGCCCCATTATATATATATATATATATATATATATATATATATATATATATTCCACAAGAAGAGGAAAATAGCATGTTTAAAGATATTGTGAGGCTGGCCTTGAACTCACAGAGATCCACCCGCCTCTGCCTCCTGAGTGCTGGGATTAAAGGCATGCACCACCACACCTGGCTGTTTTTTATATTTTATTTATTATTTTTATGTGTATGAGGGTATTGCCTGCATGTATGTGAGTGCACCCATGTTGTGCAATGCTGAGGAGGTCAGGAGAGGGCTTTGGATTCCCGTGGAACTGGAGTTAAGGATGGTTTATAGCTGCCATGTGGGTGTTGGGAATCAAACCCTGGTCCTCTGCAAGAGCAGTCAGTGCTCTTAACTGCTGAGCCATCTCTCCAGCCCCCCATTCCATATTTTAAGATGAAGAAATAGTGGATCAAGGGTCACACGGCACCCAGGGGTGAACTCAGGGGTATAGCTCCTGCTCCCCCAGTCATCCCTCTAGACTGGCTCTGGAGTCAGGCCTCCCTTCGCTCATTACCTTTTGGCCGCATCCTCAATGGTCTCTCCTTCCTGCACTTTGCCCCCGAAGCCGTTCCAGCGGCCAGCACCAAAGCCCCGTTTCTTCATGCCCAAGAGAACCTGCTGAGGTTGCAGCACCAGCACCAGGGTGTAGAGCCTGGATGCGTCCATAGTCTCCTGGGTCCTGTGAGGAGGGCCAGAGGGTGGGGTCAGCTTGACCTGGAATTTTTGTTGGGGTGTGTATGAAATGTGTACTGGAGTAGCAGCCAGGTTGGAGGGAGGTGTGCTATTAAGGGGCAGAGGAGGGAAGTCAGCTGGCTACTCCCCAGGCCTGGGACTTAGGGGTTCCAAGGCAGGCAGAAGATACAAACATGCCTCTGAACTTTTTTTTTTTTTTTTTTTTAAATCAGGAACATGCCAGGCTATTGCTATACCATCAAGCCACACCCTAGCCCCTCAGTGGGGAATTCTAGGCAGGTGCTCTACCACTGAGTCATACCCCCAGCCTAGGACACAGGACTTCCTAGGTTAGAAACAGGTCTGATCTTCAGGACCCAGTGGCATGGTTACCACGGGTGTCCCAGAAAGTCAGATGAAGATTCCACTCCCTTTCTCTACACCTTGAACTCTTGGTTATAGTAGCCAGGATGACTTCTCTAAAGATGTCTGCATCTACTCCTGCCATCTCAAGTGTGTTTCTGCAAGGGGAGACAGCCCCATGCCCACCCAGTCCCACTGGATAACCAGATAACCCAGCAGTCCTCAAGCCAGGATTTGGCCCTCCCTGTCTTCTCATTAGCAGGGGCCTTTTCTGGCCGCTGGGCACCTGATTCCAGCCTCTGCACAGGAGCAGCCCTGCCTGTAGGCTCCAGAGAGATGTATGATTTTGGACAGGGGCTGTTCCACCTAGACACCTTGTGGTCCTTCTGCAATAGTATCTGGATTCCTCTGCTTGTGTTGCTACTGTGTGATCTGGTATCCAGAGAGTGCTGGAATTGACAGCACCCTCCACCAACAGGAGTGTGAAGCACACAGAAGGATATGAAGGTGGTGACTTTGTTAAGTCATGAAGATGGAGAAGGACCTTGGAGAATTTGAGAGCCCTTGGACCAAGCTTCCTTTCCTGGTTTTTATTTTGGCATGTGTACATGCAGCACTAAACCAACGTGTGTGCTGTGTGTGGGGTGTTTTCTATTGCTATCTACCTTATTTTGGGAGACAGCATCTCTTTCTGAACTTGGAGCTAGTTTGCCTGGCTAGTGAGCTGAGGCTGTGCCTATCTCTGCCATCTTCACCCAAGCACCGGGGTTTAGATGTGCAGTGCCCTTCTGTTTTCTATGCATGTGCCCTCCCAGCTTTATACGGGTGCTTGGGATCCCAATCCAGAACCTCATGCTTGTGCGACGTGCACTTTGTTCACTGACCCATTTCCCAGCCTGCTGGACCACGCCTCTTGTTGCTTTATCCTTTTCCTGGCCTGGGACCCTCACCTGGTCAAAGCAGGATCCAGAACCTGAGACCCTCCTGTTACATTGTATAAGGAACCTGGGCTGGGTCTTAGTGGTGAGATGGGTCAGGGAGGGGAAGTGAGCTTGGCATTAGACTTCCCATGATGCCTGTATCCTTGTCTGACACTGACCTGCCTGTGCCTGAGGCCCTGGCTTCCTAACAGCAAACTCAGTCATAACTTATTAAGCACCAACTATATACAGCTTTTTTCTGTATCCACAGGGGATTGGTACCAGGATGTCATCCCTGCCACGCTCACCATGGATACCAGAATCCCAGTATGCTGAAATCACTTCTATAAAATGGTGCATTATTTGCATATAACCTACAAACACCCTCCAGCATATTTTAGATGCAACACAAATACTATGTAGGCTGTTTGTACACTGTTGCTTCACAGAATGATAAAAGTCCACACATAAGCCAGGCATGGTGGTGCACGCCTGTAGTCCCAGCGCTTGGGAGGCAGAGGCTGGTGGATCTCTGTGAGTTCAAGGCCAGCCTGGTCTACATAGTGAGTTCCAGGACAGCTGGGGCTACAGGGAGTCCCTGTTTCAAAAAGACAAAAAAAAAAAAAAAAAAAAAAAAAAAAAAGAAGAGTACTGACTGCTCTTGCAGAAGACCCAGGTTCACTTCCTACACCCATATGGAGGCTAACAATCCAGTTCCAGGGGATTCTATGCCCTCTTCTGGCCTCCAGAGGCATTGCACCACAAGGGTGCAGTTACATACACACAGGCAAAACACATATATTGAAAAAAAAAAAAGAGTGTTGAGACAGAACCTTGCTAAGTAGCCCAGACTGGTCTTAAACTCAAAATCCTCCTGCCTCAACCTCCTGAGTGCTGGGATGACAGGTGTGCATCCTACCCAGCTTCCTATCCCAGCTTTTTTTTTTTTTTTTTTTGTCTTTTTGAGACAGGGTCTCCTTGTAGCCCCAGTTGGCCTGGAAATCAGTATGCAGACCAGGCTAGCCTTGAACTCACAGAGAGTTCCATCTGCCTTCCGAGTGCTGGGATCAAAGGCAAGGGCCACCATGCCTGGCTTTATCCCAGGTTTTTAAATAGTGAGGACACTAAACTTGCATCTTGTAGAATGGGGTTTGGTTATGGGCTCTGCTGTTTAAACCTTGTTAAAAACAGACTCTGCTGTTTTCTCCTCTGAGAACAGAGATCTCATCTCATACAACTCTTGGGTTTATGAAAGAGGTTAACTTTTGAAAGCAAAGTTAAATGGAGCTGGGGATTATTTTTATTTGCTTGTTGAATGGTCTCCTGCTGAGCCCAAGGATATAGGGGGCCACTTAATGACTTGTGTGTGTGTTTGGTGCTTGCACATATGTATGGAGGTGTGTGCATCCTGTGTGGAGACCAGAGGCTGACACTGGATGTTTTTCTCTGTTGCATTCACCTTATTTAACTTTTTTTTTTTTTTTTTTTTTTTTTTTGGACAGGTCTTACTGTATAGGCCCTGGCTGGACTGGAATTCCCTATGTAGACCAGGCTGGCCTCAAACTCACCCAGTCTCCACCTTAACTTTTTATATTTTTTTAAAATTTTATTGGGACTGGTGTGGTAGCACACCCCTTTAGTCCCAGCACTCGGGAGGCAGAGGCAGGCAGATCTCTGTGAGTTTGAGGCCAGCCTGGTCTCCATGGTATATCCAGGACAGCTGGGGCTATGGGGAGAACCTGTCTCAAAATGACCCCCCAAATTTTTTTTATTGAATTTTTGTAAATTTCATACAATAATTATTTTGATTAAATTTAGATCCCCTCCCCCATCAGGACCCTTCTGCCCAATTTCATGCATTCTATTACATACACAGCCTATACAGTCAAAGTCAAACTTGCATGCCTAAATGTCCTTCAGTGTGGGTTCATCCACTGGAGCCTGGTCAACTACCAAGGGTCTAACACTTAAAGGACTCTCTGGGTTCCAGCAGCCATGGGATGCCAATAGTTCCTCAGGTAGGGCTGGGGTTTCTTTCCCACCTTGTTTCAGTCAGGGCCTCTCCTTGGGACATGGAGCTCACAGATTTGGTAAGACTAGCTGAGGAGAGCTCCAGGGATCCAACTGTCTCTGATTCCCAACTAGGATTGCAGATGCATGCCATACCGGCTTTTTATATGGGTTCTGGGGATTGAACTCAGGACCTCAGCACTTCAGCTCCAATTACCCTTGTTTTCAAATGCCATCCCACTTAAGCTAAAAACTTTAGAAGATGTCGATTTTTAGAGGAGAAAACTGATGCTCAGGAAGTCTAAGTTTGAAACAGGATCCAACAACTGAGCCTGTAACCAAACGGAGTGTCCTGGACAAGTCTAGTGTCCCAAAGGTCAATAGCTGGGATAGGTAGCAAATCAGGTATCAAGGAGATTGCAAATACTAGGGACTGGGGTGCTGGAGGCTTGCTCCTTAGCCACGTGGCCAGAACTGAGGTCATCTGAGACCCTCATGAGGGCTCTTGCAAGGGTTGAAAGTAATGCACGTGTAGTGCAGGGATCAGACTGGCTGCAGGGGACGGACGCGCTGCAAACGCTGGTTCCCCAGCCTCAGTGTCTGGTACAGCGTGCTTGCAACCCCAGTCTGCCTTCGTCAGCCCAACATCGGCTCTGGGGTTGAAGCCACCACAGAACCCCCAGGTCCCAGGTCCTCTCTCCCGCCCATTTTTGCTCTCCCTCCCTCGCCAGTTCCCGGGTCCCCGCCGCCCAGCCTCAGGTCTCTCCAGCTCCCGTGTCACCCCAGCCTCAGGCCTCCCCAGCTCCCCCAACTCCCGAGTCCTCGGTTCTCGGCTTTCCGCGCCCCACCACTGACTTCCAGCTCTGCATCCGTACCTGCGCATCAAGGCCCGAGCCGCGCTCGCAGGAAGCGAGGGCGGGACTTCCGCCGACCCACGGACCTCGGAACTTGCTAGAGAGCACCCATGGCTTGGTGAGTAGAGAAATGTACTTAAAGGGAGTGTGCTGCAAGCGTGTGGGGAGGCGGCAGTGGTTGGAAACTGTTTCCCCAACTGCAGAGGGGCGCTGGCAACCTGCGTCCCGGGGTGCGGAACTTCAGGGACCCCTGAAAATGGGGAGGGTTGAGAGAGGAGGGTAGAGGCTGCAGGTGCAGGGGGGAGGGCAGGGCTGCAGGTGCGAGGGGGGCAGGGCTGCAGGTGCAGGGGGGAGGGCAAGGCTGCAGGTGGAGTGAGTCCTGTAGAGACACGTGAGGGGACAGGTGTGGAGTGTAATCTTGAGGCTCATGACTCATGACTGCAGAGGACCAGGTGGTGTGGTTTCACCTAGGGGTGTGGAATGGGATGGAAGAGGCCAGCCGTCCAAATCAGGCAGCCTTGGTGGCTGTGGGAAAACTGTCACTTTTGTGACCTGTGCCAATTCACTGGATATCTTTTCTCTCACTGATCTGGGCTCTGGACCCGTGTGCTGTCCTCTCAGGAGACCCCTAAGCCATTTTCAGCAGAATTCTCAGCAGCGCTGGTCAGCACACCTTGGTTTCAAAGGTGCTTTAGGTGTTGTCATCAGAGAAGTGGACATACATGTTTGATGTGAGATTGCTCAAAGAGTTGAAGAGGGAAGGTCAGCTCAGCTCCTGTCATGCTGAGCTCCTAGCTGCAGGACCATCAGTAAATGTGTGTTGAAATCATAATGTGTTAAACATCTTGGAAATTCATCAACTTATCTACTCAGGTTGGGTTCGGTGTCAAGTGTGCCAAGCCAGGTTCTGTGCTAGAACCCGCTACAGAAAGTCACTGGGTAGGGAGGGACCTGTCCTCATGCTTTTGTTAACTGTTTTGAGACAGGGTCTCGCTGTGTAGCCCTGGAACTTGCTTTGCAGAGACCAGGCTGGCCTTGAACTCAGAGATCTGCCTGCCACTGCCTCCTGAGTGCTGGAATTAAAGGTGTGTGTCACCAAACCTGTCCAAAGTATTTTTTTTAATATGTGTGTGTGTGTGTGTGTGTGTGTGTGTGTGTGTGCTTATGCCATGGCCTATGTGTGGAGGTCAGAGGACAGCTTGCAGGAGTTGGTTTTCTTTCTTTCTTTTTTTTTTTTTGTAATAAACTTAAAAAATTTTTTTTTATTATTTTTATTTTATGTGTATGCCTGTATTGCCTGCATGTAAGTGCACCCATGTCGTGCAATGCTCGCAGAGGTCAGAAGAGGCTGTTGGATCCCCTGGGACTGGAGTTACAGACAGTTGTTAGCTGCCATGTGGGTGCTGGGATTCGAACCCGGTCTTCTGCAAGAACAACCAGTGTTCTTAATGGCTGAGCCATCTCTCCAGCCCTGGTTTTCTCTTTAAAAAAAAACTTTTTTACTGAATTTTTGCATATTTCATACATAAAATTATCTTTATACCCCCTTCCCATTTGGCACCCTTCCATAGACCCCCCGACTGGAGTTCATACTGTCATTTGTATTAAGGCCTATTATGTAAAGTTAGTGTCCCCAGATGTCCCACAGTGCAAGTTCATCCACTGGGGTCTAGTAAGCCCTTCTAGAGTCTCTCCGTTCAAGAAGATCAGCTCTTCCTCACCCAGCAGTAATCAGCTGCCAATAATTCTTCACCTAAGATTGGGGCTAGCTGTTCATTTCCACAGTTCTGTGTTGGGTTTTTGTCTGCCTAAGTTTGCATGGGTCTTGTGCATGCTGACACCATTGCTGTAGATTTGTATGATAAGGGTTCCAGGTGCCTGTAGGGCAATTTCCATATGGTCATGCACCTCCTCCCTGCCTCTGACCATCTTTCTGCCCCCTCTTTTGCAATGGTCCCTGAGCCCTGGGTGGGTGGACCTCAATATAGGAGTCCTGTCCAAGGACCCACACTCTGCCGACTCCTTTTACCATGTGGGTCCTGGGGAATGAACTCAGTTTGAGGCCTGATGGCAGACACCTTTGAGACCCACTGAGCCCAGTTTTTACAGTGTACTCTCAGACCATACAACCTCTGCTAGATAGAAAAAAGAACATTATGCCGGGCGTGGTGGCACACACCTGTAGTCCCAGCACTTGGGAGGCAGAGGCAGGTGGTTCAAGGGCAGCCTGGTCTATATAGTGAGTTCCAGGACAGTTAGGGCTACAGGGAGACCCTGTACCAAAAAAAAAAAAAACAAAAAACAAAAAACAAAAAACAAACAAACAAACAAACAAAAAGTATCAAAACAAAAAAACAAAAAACCCCATTACTTCTTTCTTTTTTATTTTAGGAAAGGGTCATATAGCCCAGGTTGGCCTCAAACTCACTATATAGCTAAGGAGAGCCTTGAACTTTCTTTTCTTTTTTTTTTTGAGACAGGGTCTCCCTTAGCCCCTGCTGGCCTGGGACTTGCTGTGTAGACCAGGCTGGCATCATCTATCTCATATTCACCTGCCTCTGCCTCCCAAATGCTGGGATTAAAGGCATGCAGCACCACACCTGGTGAACTTCTTTTTTTAAAAAAATTATTTTTTATTTTAAATTCTGTGTGTGTGTGTGTGTGTGTGTGTGTGTGTGTGTGCACATGAGTGTAGGGCCCAGATCCCCTAAAGCTGTAGTTATAGGTGGAAGTGAGCCATCTGACATGGGTGCTTGGAACTGAACTCAGGTCCTCTGAAAGAGCAGTATGTGCTCATAACCGCTCAGCTGTCTCTCCAGCCCCAACCTGAAAGTCTGATCCTACTATTTCCACCTCTGAAGTACTGAGATTACAGGCATGCATCAACCCATCCAATTTATGCAATACTAGAGATGAAACCCAGGTCTTTGTGTGTACTAGGTAAGCACTCTATCAACTGATCCACACCCCTATCCCCTATTAAGTTTTAACTTTATTTTGAATGTATCTTGTTATACAGCCCAGGCTGGCCTTTAATTCATGATCTTGCCTTAGCCTCCTGAGTGCCAGGATTCTAGGCCTGTGTTGCCACACCTGGCCTTGGCTTTCATTCCTTTTATACAGTACTAGGAAAGGTTTAGTTGATGTACACTAGGTGATTGTCACTAAATTTGAGTCTCCCACTTGGGCCTGTTTCACAGACCTGTCATGAAACCTACTCAGGAGGCCAAGGGAGGATTGTGTACTCTAAGCCTGCCTGGGCCACAGAGTGAGTTCAAGACCAGCCTGGGCAACTTAGAGACTTTGCCTCAAAAATTATAATTTTAGCACCTAGGAGGCAGAAGCGGGCAGATCTCTGTGAGATCAAGGGCAGCCTGGTCTACATAGTGAGTTCTAGGCTAACTGGAGCTACAGGGAGACCGTCTCCAAAAAATCTCCCACAACAAAGAAGGCTTGGGGGTGTGACTCAGTGGTAGAGCACCTGCCTAGAATCCTCCAGTGAGGGGCTGGGGGTATTTAGTCGTAGAGCATCTGCCCAGAGTCTCCAAAGAGGGACTGTGGGTATGACTAGCATATATGAGGCCCTGGGCTTGATCTCTAGTACTGCACATTACTGTTTGTAATGGAGGAGGTTATGAGTTGCCCAGTGAGTGCTGGGAAGGCAGAGACGGATCCTGGAGCAAGCTGGCTAGCTAGACTTGCTGAATTGGTGAGCTCCAAGCTCAGAGAGAGACCCTGTTCAACATATATATAAGACCAAAAGGCACCTGATGTCAACATGCACACACAGCACACACATGTGCACAGGCACCTGCACATAGGTGTATCCACACACATGCATTTGAACATGAATACATGCATGAAAAAAATATAGTGGGTTGAACCAAGAGCCCCACTGCCTACCTCTGTATGTCACCTATCTGCTGAATCCTCTCTCTGTCAGGTGCCTGAAGTGGGCGTGGGGTCCCCTTCAGGGTCAGGGGTTCCATACTGCTGTGCCACACTACAAGAGCCGGACGGGCACTGAGCACCTGTGGCTGATGCGACACCTAAAGGACCCGTTTGTGAAGGCAGCAAAGGTGGAGAGTTACCGCTGTCGGAGTGCCTTCAAGCTCCTGGAGATGAATGAAAAGCATCGTGTCCTATGGCCTGGACTCCGAGTGCTGGACTGTGGGGCAGCTCCTGGTGCCTGGAGTCAGGTGGCGGTGCAGAGAGTCAATGCCACAGGCACAGGTGGGGACTTTATGACATCACTAACACCTAAATGAGCCTAAAGGAGTATCGGAGAGCTAGTATCAGAGAGCTGTGCTCTCCCCAGTCCCAGTGGTTGAGCTGCTGTCTGAGGTGGTTGTTTGTAGTAATAGTGATAGAGAAAGGATACAGAGGAGCCAGATACATGATTCCAGGGTAAAGGAGCTTGCTGCCAAGTCCAGTGGCTTGAGTTCCATCTCTAGGACCCACACAGAGGAAGGCAAGAACCAACTCCTGCAAATTGTCCTCTGACCTCCACACATGTACTGTGGCATGCACCTACCTGTATAAACACAGGAAATAAGTGTAATTTTATAGAAAAGCAAAATAATTCTGTTACTACAGAAAACTAAAAATAGGCCACAGAAGTTAGTCAAAGTGGTACATATCTTTAATCCCAATAATCTAGAGGCTGAGGAAGCAGGGGGATCATGAGTTTGAGGCCAGCCTGGGCTATGTAGGAAGACCCTGTCTTCTTTTTTTTTTTTTTTTTAAACATGATTTTTTCAATTTCTTAGAACTAGTTGAGTGAAGTTTTAATTAGTCTTATGAAAATGTCCCCAATGTTACAGTATTATAGCCATTCTCAGGGATCTTAATGACTATAGCTGTCCTTAAGACTTGTGTCATGGTCTTACTATTGCCTGCTTTTTCTGGCTCTCTGCAGATACACATTCATATAAGCAGATCAGTTGGCTGGCTTGCAAGACCCTCTCTTAAAACATAGAGGCTTCTGGACATGGTAGCATATGCCTTTAATCCCAGCACTTGGGAGGCAGAGTCAGGCAGATCTCTTGTGAGTTCGAGGCCAGTCTGGTCTACATAGTGAGTTCCAGGACAGCTGGGGCTACAGGGAGACCCTGTCTCAAGACAAAAAAAGCATATAGGCTGAAGCGCTATCTCAGCAGTTAAAAGTGCTTGCTGTTCTTGTGGAGGACCTAGATTCAATTCCCAGCACCCATATTGGGCAACTTATAACCTTCTGTAACCCCAGCTCCAGGGGTATCCAATTCCTTTGACCTCCTTGACCCTTCTGGCTTCCTTGGACACCTGCATTCATGGGCACAGGCACATACACCTATACACATAATTAAAAATAAAGCCAGGAATGGTGGCACATGCCTTTAATCCCACCACTCTGGAGGCAGAGGCAGTGAATCTCCCAGAGTTCAAGGCCAGCCTGGTCCACATAGTGAGTTCCAGGCCAACCAGGAACTATCTTACTACACAATGAGACCGTTTCAAAAAAAAAAGCAAAATTTAAAATCCCACAAAACAAGAGTAGGCTAATGACCTTTGACCTTTCCACAATGAAAGAGGGAGTTGAAAGTGATGATGAAAATGAAAAGTGAAAACTTCTCTTAATTATACCACTTGGACATAATCCATGTCAGTGGTGTCACACTCTGTACCTGCTGCACTGGAGCCGAACTGGAGTTACTTTTTCATGGGTGATGTATTGGCAGGTTTTCATGACAGGACAGTTCCAATCCTTGAAGCCTGAGAGGCGGATAGGGTCCCCATTGGGGCTGCCGCCTCTAGGACCACAGGAAGGGCCTCCTGATTGGGGCTCTGGGCTCTTTGCAAGAACAGTCAGTGCTCTTAACCGCTGAGCCATCCCTCCAGCCCAATTTTTTTTTTTTTTTTTGGTCTTTTTGAGACAGGGTCTCCCTGTAGCCCCAGCTGTCCTGGATTTACTATGGAGACCAGGCTGGCTTCAAACTCACAGAGATCCTCCTGCCTCTGCCTCCTGAGTGCTGGGATTAAAGGTGTGTGCTTACACACCTGGCCTATTTTTTAATTTTTAAGACAGGATCTCACTCTGTAGCCCAGTCTGGTTTTGAACTTGCCTCAATCTTGCCTCAGTCTCCTCAGTGCTGGGATCCATCACACCTGGCCTCATGTGTCTTCATAGAAAAGGCCTCTTGTCCACATATATGCACATTAGCTATTTTCCTTGGTCTTGATGTCTTTATTCTGTGGCTTGTATTTTGGCAAGGAGATTCATGGAGTAAATAACACATCCTCTGTTCCTTCCGTAGACACCAGCTCTCCTGTGGGCTTTGTGCTTGGGGTTGATCTTCTTCACATATCCCCCTTGGAAGGAGCAACTTTTTTGTGCCCTGCTGATGTGACTGATCCCAGAACTTTCCAGAAAATCCTAGAACTGCTTCCAGGGAGGAGAGCAGACGTGATTCTAAGTGACATGGCACCCAATGCCACTGGGATCCGGGACCTTGATCATGACAGGCTTATCAGCTTGTGTCTCACCCTTGTGGACATGGCTGCAGAAATCCTGCACCATGGGGGCACACTGCTGTGCAAAACCTGGGCTGGAAGTCAGAGCCACCAGCTGCAGAAGAGACTGACCCAGGAATTCCAGAACATGAGGGTCCTAAAACCCAAGGCCAGCAGGAAGGAGTCTTCCGAGGTGTACCTTTTGGCCACACAGTACCGGGGAAGGAAGGGCTCTACGGAGCAGTGAGTCTGCCCTGCCCTCCCTGAGAGGTGCTAGGTGATTTTGTCCTGTGCTTGAAGCTTCAGTGGTTTCCTGAGAGTGGCTGAGATCTGAACTGCACCAGAAGAGTGGGACACTGGGGACAGCTTTCATTTTTTTGTTTAAGCTTGAGGACAATTTATTAGAGTCTAAAAGGAAAACTCCAGGGCAGGCAAGCTGTAAATCTCACAGGAGGAGAATGGAGAAAATAGGCTGGTGTGGTGGTCAGCTACCTGACTATGGGCAGACTTGTGGCAGAGAGTGGAGCTTTATAAAAAGAACAAGGAAGCCCAGGTGCTGGTGAGATGGCTCACAGGTTAAGAACACTTATTGATGTTACAGAACAGCCAGGTTCAGTTCCCAGCACCCACATAAAGAGGCTCACAACTGCTTGTAACTCCAGTTTCAGGAAAGTCGGCACCCTCTTCTGGCCTCCCCAGGTATGGTGTACATAAACTCACACAGGCACACATATGTACACATAAATAAAAATAAAATCTTTTTGAAAAAAAAGGAAGCCCAAAGCATTAAGTTAGAGAATTTAAAATCATAGATAGGCTCTGACTGTATATGAAAGAAAACAGAGAAAACTGAGTCAGAATTGAGAGAGGTATCCAATTCAACCCAACTCCATGGTAGCTCCTAAGGACTGCCCTCTTTGCTTTTTATTATTTGCTTTTATTATTTTTATATATTTTTATGTTTATGAGTGTTTGCCTACATGTATGTAAGTGTACCCGTGCATGTAATGCTGGAGGCCAGAAGAGGGCATTGGATTCCCTGGAACTGGAGTAGCTGCCATGTGGGTGTTGGAAACTGAACCCAGGTCCTTAGCAATAGCAGCCAGTGCTCTTAACTGCTGAGCCATCTCTCCAACCCCCCTCTTTGGTTTTCTTTTGTCTTTTTGAGGCAGGGTCTCCCTGTAGCCCCAGCTGTCCTGGAACTCACTATGTAGACCAGGCTGGCCTTGAACTCACAGAGATCCACCTGTCTCTGCCTCCTGAGTGCTGGGACTAAAGGTGTGTGCAACCATGCCCGGTGGGTTTTTTTTTTTAACCCAAAAGAGATGAAAGTGTATCAAAGATTTAAAAAAATGATAAAAACAAAAGCAATGGTGGCACACGCCTTTAATCCTAGCACTCGGGAGGCAGAGGCAGGCAGAACTGGATCTCTGTGAGTTCAAGGCCAGCCTGTTCTACATAGTTCCAGGGGGGCTTAAGAAACACATTACTAAAAAAAAAAAAAAAAAAAAAAAAAAAAAAAAACAAAACAAAACCCAGAAGCAATAAAACAACATTTGTTGGGTCTGGGGATGTGGCTCAGTTGGTAGAATGTTTGCCCACCATGCAGGAAGCCCTGGGTTCCATCCTCAGAACTGCATGAACCAGGTGTGATGGTGCATGCCTGGCCTCCCAGCACTGGGCAGGTGGAGGCAGAAGGATCAGGACTTCACGATCCTCCTCAGCTATGAGACTCCATTTCTACAGAACGTCTTCAGCTCATAAAGGCTTGGTGTCTTAGAGAAACAGGTGTTTCTCTGTTGATCCCTGAACACAACACAGGAGTTTCCTGTTTCTCTCTTAGATGCATAATGTAAAGCAAGGAAGACTGAGATTTCTATTTAGGGATTAATATCCATTTTGTCTGGTGAATGAGCTGGGAATGCATCCATTCTTCAAGCAGGGATAATTCCCAGAGCAATTAGGAGAGACATTCAGTATGAATTTATGCTTAGGCTGGGGTGTTTTGTTTTGTGTAGAAGAATATATTGTAATACTCCAGCTCCCAAGACCATAAAGGTAATTGACAAAGCGCGCTGCAACATGGTGTGTTCATTTCCTTTGCTCGTCTATCAACACAATCCAGCTTTCTGAAAGAAGAGAGATTGCAAAAACCAGAAAGTATTTTTGTTTGTTTTAAAATTTTATTTTATTTTATATGTATGAGTGTTTTGCCTGCATGTATGTAAGTATACTGGTGTCATGCAATGTCCATAGAGGACAGAAGAGGGTGTCAGATCCCCTGGAACCGGAGTTAAGAATGGTTTGTTAGCGACCATGTGGACGCTGGAAACCTAACTCTGGTCCTCTGCAAGAGCAGCCAGTGTTCTTAACCACTAAGCCATCTCTCTAGCTGTTTGTTTATTTTATTTATTATTTTTATTTTATGTGTGATAGGTAAAAAGTTGGTGGAGAACAAGCGAATGGAGGAGGAGGCATCAGGACACAGATAAAACGCCATCAAAATAGGGTTTATTAGCAAAGGAACACATGGGACAGGGAAAATGTCTGCCCAGGTCTTGAGCTGGGGTCTTTTTAAAAGGGAGGCTTCTGCCTCCTGCAGAAGGTGGGAGGATGTATTTTTTTTAAGTTGGGTGGGGGGGGGGAGCAGGACTGTTAAAACCTGTCCTCTTTGGAGACCAAAGGGGAAGCCTGCTGTGGTGGCCAAACTGGAGAAAAGTCTGCTTCTCTTGACTTCAAAGACCAAGGTTCTTATCAGCTAGGTTCCCTTTTCTCAGGAGCATGAGAAGTCCTTGGGATCCTGTTGGTGAGGGGGCAGGGCTATCTGGACCTTAACAATGTATATGTGTGTATTGCCTGCATGTAGGTAAGTGCACCCATGTCATGCAATGCCTGAGGAGGACAGAAGAGACTGTTGGAACCCCTGGAACTGGAGTTACAGATAGTTGTTAGCTGCCATGTGGGTGCTAGGATTGGAACCTGGGTCTTCTTCAAGAACAGTCAGTGTTCTTAACCACTGAGCTATCTCTCTGGCCCCCGATTGTTTATTTTTGAGACAGGGTCTCACTATGTAGCATCCGCTGGCCTGGAACTCAGCATGTAGACTGAGCTGGCCTCCATCTCACAGAGATCCACCTGCCTCTGCCTTCTGAGTGCTGGGATTAAAGGTGTGAGTCACCATGCCTGGCTATAATTTCTTAAAAAAGAATATAAATTGCATTTATTATAATTATTCTTCTGTGTATATACACATGTCCGTGTGTGTTGGGGGGGGCTATGTGCATGTGTATGTGTCTATAGGCCAGAGGTCAATGTTGGATGTCTTCCTTGCTTAATGACCACTCGTGTGCGTGTGTGACTTGTGTGTGTACACATGTGTATGCAAGTGTGTTTGCCTGTGCGTGTGCACGTGGAGGCCAGAGGTCAACTTCCAGTATCTTCCTTTGTTGTCAGACCATTTCTCACTGAACCTGGAGCTCATGGATTGGACTAGACTGACTGGCCAGCAAGCTCTCAGGATGGCCTGCCTCTAGTCTTTGACAATTTCTTAGGCTTGTGGTGTGTTCTGCCACCTCCACCCCTCTCTGAATTGCTCCCCCACTAGCCTCCTCCCAACCTCACAGGCCCTTTCCAATATTCATGGCTTTTTGTTTTGTGATTCTGAGTTTCACCATGGTCATCTGTGTGAACATGGATTTAGTGTTATCTAATGGAAAGTCTGGTGGGCTCAGCAGTGGGTATGGAACTGAAGTCAGTGTCTGCCAGCATCCATCAGTAGCCAATAGTTCAGCTGAGAGGGTGGGGCCCCCTCTCTATAAGCCTTTCCCTGACCCATGATTGACTTTTAAAAGGAATTTAGTTTTACTTATTGTTTTTTAAAATATTTTGTTTATTATTTTTATTTTATGTATATGAGTGTTATGCCTGCATGTAAGTAAGTGCACCCATGTCATACAATGCGCATGGAGGACAGAAGAGGCTGTCGGATCCCCTGGAACTGGAGTTACGGACAATTGTTAGCTGCCATGTGGGTGCTGGGATTCGAACCCGGTTCTTTTGCAAGAACAGTCAATGGTTAACACTGAGCCCTCTCTCCAGCCCCCATTTATTGTTTTTCTTTTTACAAAAGAACTTGCTGGGCCTGGTGGCTCATGCCTGTAGTCCCAGCACTTGGGAGGCAGAGGCAGGCGGATCTCTGTGAGTTCAAGGCCAGCCTGGTCTACATAGTGAGTTCCAGGACAGCTGGGGCTACAGGGAGACCCTGTTTCAAAAGACAAAAACAAACAAACAAAAAAAGAACTTGTAGCTCCACCTGGCATGGAACTCACTGTGTAGACCAATCTGGCCTCTATCTCACAAAGATCTGCCTGCCTCTGCCTCTTGAATGCTAGGATTGAAGGCCTGTGCCACCACACCTGGCTAAATTAATCAATTTAGACCTTAGAGTTACACCATAAGGGGAAGGAATCCAGTGGGATTCTATTAGCTTTACAGAGGACAGAGGAGGCAAATGGAAAGCAAAGAGAGAGACACGGATTTTAAGACTTCATGTTAAAGCCAGGTGTGGTAGTGCACACCTTTGATCCCAGCACTCTGGAGGCAGAGGCAGGCAGATCTCTGTGAGTTCAAGGCCCGCCTGGTCTACATAGTGAGTTCTAGGCCAGTTGGGGCTACTGGGAGACTCTGTCTCAAAAAGACCAAAAAACAACAACAACAAAAAAAACAAAACAAAACAAAAAAAACCCTTCAGGTTAAGGGGCTGGAGAGATGGCTCAGCTAAGAGCACTGACTCTTCTTACAGATGACCTGGGGTTTGGTTCCCAGCACCCACATGGCAGCTAACAACTACTGTTAACACCAGTTCCTAGCGATCTGATGCCCTCTTCTGACCTCCACAGGCATTGCACAACATGGGTGCACCTACCTACATGTAGACAATACACTCATACACATTAAAAAAAAAAAAAAAAAAGAAAAAAGACCAGGTTAAGAAAAAGTACAAAAGCAGTTATTGTTAACATGCTTCGGGGAAGCAGTTCTGTGGCTCTGGTTACTCTCTTAGAGGTCAGAGACTGGCTGAAGCCATTTGAGAGATCAGCTCTTATGATGTCTCTCAGAAAAGCTGTGTATTGTTTCAGCTCACCTATGAACAAGTATGGATGAGTCTAGATGATTTTTGTTTTTGGTGCCAGTGGTACTTACCAAACATTAAGTGGGTCTCTAGCCAGAAAAACAGAAGCAAAGGAACCCAAAGTAACACGCAAGCCATGCTCCACAATTGGGTCAGCCAAGCAGCAGACAGGGAAACTCCCCAACAATGCTTCAAGACATCTCGGCAGGACACCCCAGAAAAATTAGCAGGGAGGAGACAGAGACCTAGTTCCATGTGGTCATACTTAGGAGACAGGAGTTCCTTGAAGTGTTTGGGACCTCAACTCAGACCAAACCAGGATTCCTGGCTTCATTGTTGAAGGAAATTTCTGAACTAACTAGTATAATAAAGATATTTTGATATAGGCTTAAGCCTGGGGGATAAAAGAAAAAGAGATGTTCAAGGAAAAATATAAGACATTGCCAGTTGTGAGTATAGCTTCCCAAGGGAGAGTGGTCTTTACAAATGTGATTTTTTTTTTGGTAGGGATTTTAATTTTTATTACTGTATATGTGTGTTACATAAACATATGTGCATGTGAATGCAGTGCCAACAGAAGTCAGAAGAGGGTGTTGGATCCTCTGGAGCTGGAGTTACAGGCAGCTGTGAGCTGCTTGATGTGGGTGCTGGGAACTGAGCTCGGGTCCTCTGGAAGAGCAGTACCTGCTCTTAACCACTGAGCTATCTCTCCAATACCATACATAGGAACTTTTAATACAGCATGGAATCACTATTTTCTCTAGCTTTATCTTAAAACAGGCCACAATCTTTTCTTTTGATGGAAAATTATGCTCTGGTAATAAAGAAGCAAAGTCAGAGAAAGAGATGAGTGAAATGTTATTCTCAGAATTTATCTTTAATTACAATTTAACTT